CTCAACTGCACCTAACAACAACCACAATAAGGGTGTTGTCAACCAAGAAGATTGGGAACCTCTGTCCTAAGGGGGAGAATGGTTGAAAGGCTAAAGCTCTGTAAACTAACCAATTACATTTTCCCACAATGTTTTTTGTTATTGCTTTTAACTTTTTACTGGGAATTGAGTGAAGGTTTACACAGCAGATCACATTTTACATTCAATAACTGTTACACTTTGTTTCATCTGAATGATTGTAATCCCCTCAGTGTAACATCACTTAGCCCGCTTCTTCCCTGTGGTTCTTGTTCTCATTCTTCTTTGCTTCCTAACTCATCTGAACTTTGTTATTGGATAAATGCTGCCCTTTGATCTCAAATGGTTGACCATTCAATGCTATGCATACCTCACTAGTGCTGTTTTCCTCTCTATATACCTATTTATTGCTTGTCTGAAAATTGAGCCATGGGGATGAGTTCTGATCTTCTCTTTAAATAACGATTTAGCACAACTTACATCATCATCAGGCAAATGGTGGTTCAGGAAAAGCTGAGGCTATCAAAGACCTAGCGAAAGTGGTTATATTTCAACATCCAGAATAAAATCTTGTTTTCTCTTTTCCACACAAACTTTAATAGTATCCTAAATTTACATCATTCCTGTTTTCAGATGTTCATACCATTTAACATTTCACTCAGGTACCTTCATAATAAATAATGTCTTCAATCACATTCTTATTGAAATCCATAATAAATATCATAGGACTGTTTCTTACCTTAATCCTTCATTTATACTGACATCACATCAAAGCAACATAATTTAGCAAGAGCATTTGTCTAAGAGGCAAGAGTATTCATATGTCTATAATCTTCTGAGTTCTAATAATTCATATCTAACTATTGTTGTTGTTAGGTGCCGTAGAGTCTGTACCGACTCATAGTGACCCTATGTACAACAGAACGAAACACTGCCAAATCCTGGGCCAACCTCAAAATTGTTGCCACACTTGAGCCCATTGCTGCTGCCACTTTGCCAATCCATCTCGCTGGGGCTCTTCCTCTTTTTCTCTGACCCTCCACCCTACCAAACACGATA